TATCTATATCTATCTATCTATATCTATCTATCTATATCTATCTATCTATATCTATATCTATCTATATATATATCATTTGGGGGTCTTGTTAAAAGGTAGGCTCTAATTCTTTAGGGTAGGAGTGAGGTCTGAGATTCTGCAGTTCTGACAAGTTCCCAGGTGATGCTAATGCTGCTGATTCCCCGGGTCACATTTTAAATAGTAAGTTTCTTGGGGACAGAACTTTTCAAGGTGGTGTCATATAAGGCAGTGGCTCTCAAACTGGGGTGCATAAAAAATAATAGAGCAGGTTTTTACAGTCACAAAGTCTTGAGAACCCCCTCCTCTCTTCAATGCCTATGTAGAGAATGTGATTTAGTACCTGGTTGGGTCTAGTTATCTCTACTCCTCCATTTCCCCTAAGTAACTTTTACGCCCATCAAATTTGGAGAGCCAACAATAAAATAAATCCTGTGCTCCCTTCAGCAGCACATGTAGTAAAATTGGAACAATACAGAGAAGATCAGCACGACCCCTGCGCAAGGATGACCCGCAAATTCATGAAGCTTCCACATTTTTCTGCCATTTGCACCAACATGGATGGAACTAGAGGGTATTATGCTAAGTGAAATAAGTCAGTCAGAGAAAGACAGACACCATATGTTTTCATTCATATGTGGATCTTGAGAAACTTAACAGAAGACCATGGGGGAAGGGAAGGGGAAAAAAAGTTACAAACAGAGAGGCAGGGAGGCAAACCATAAGAGACTCTTAAAAATTGAGAATAAACTGAGGGTTGATGGGAGGGTGGGAGGGAGGGGAAAGTGGGTGATGGGCATTGAGGAGGGCACTTGTTGGGATGAGCACTGGGTGTTGTTTGGAAGCCAGTTTGACAATATATTTTTTAAAAAGATAAATAACTAAATAAATAAAATAAATCCTAAAGAATTTTTTGTCTTGATAGGCTCTCTTAAATCTCCTGGACATCATGTACAAAATAGTCATGTGAATTATAATCAACAATCATGTTGATAAAGTCATGCAAACTTCTGGCCTGGAATATACTCTCCTTAAGGGCAGCAACTCTGTTTAGCTCATTTTAGTATACTTTACCTTACTCTGTGATATTTTTTCAAAATAATAGATATTCAATAAGCCTTGGAACCATAATAAAAATGGAACCTGAGCTCCTAACAATGACATTTGCCTTAAAGATCTCTATTTTTCTTGAAGAAGTATTTTGCCAGTATAATGCCCTCTCAAATCTTACAACTATAGAAGATTGTTGGGGCGCCTGGGTGGCGCAGTCGGTTAAGCGTCCGACTTCAGCCAGGTCACGATCTCGCGGTCTGGTCCGTGAGTTCGAGCCCCGCGTCGGGCTCTGGGCTGATGGCTCAGAGCCCGGAGCCTGTTTCCGATTCTGTGTCTCCCTCTCTCTCTGCCCCTCCCCCATTCATGCTCTGTCTCTCTCTGTCCCAAAAATAAATAAACGTTGAAAAAAAAATTAAAAAAAAAAAAAAAGAAGATTGTTGATAGACACGAGAGAATAATAGCTTGTTTGTTTTACAACATCTGCAACTGTGGACAAGTCTACATTCATATTTAATGAGCCTTTTTATTAACTTTAAAAGATTTAGCCTCTGTTATATTCTATAGTTATAAACAAAGAAATGAGTAGATGGAATTGAAGAATTCCACAGAGGGGGCATCTGGGTGGCTCAGTCAGTTAAGTGCCCAACTCTTGGTTTCAGCCCAGGTCATGATCTCACAGTTAGATCTCACAGTTTGAGTCTCAGTGTCAGGCTTCCTGCTGACTCCGCAGAGCCTGCTTGAGATTCTTCTCCCTGCCTCTCTCTCTGCCCCTCCCTTGCTTGCACACGTGCACTCTCTCTCTCTCTCTAAATAAATAAACTTAAACAAATCTTAAAAAAAAAAAAAAAAAAAGAATTCCACTGAAGTCAGTGATGTATTCAATTTCTGAAGAAAAGGTGATCCTTATGACATCAAAAAGTTCAGCTTGGTTCATCTAGCTTTATTCTTACTCTTTCAATACATTAGAATTTGAAAAAGTTCAGTTACCCATGTAAAAAAAGGGAGAGTAAAACTCAAGGAATAACAATCTCAGAGCAGCGATGATAAAGACTCTTAGGAAATAGAGCTTTAGAAAGGGTAAAGGGGTAGACACTTGTCCTGAAAGCAAAAGCCCTATTATCAGAATCAAAATAATTGGGTAGTGTAACTTGTAACAGGGTTATCCTGAAGGATCAGGTTGCAAGTTAAACTAAAGTGGAGGTGCTTCCGTACTTAGTTTCTAAAGTCTCAAGTCATGGTTGTCTGGGGTACTGAGCCTAGTGGTGGAACCTCAGGAACTGGGGGAATCAGACAGTGATAGTTTTCTTTTAGGTTTAAATTGTAGCTCTTTCTTAATAAAACAAAACAAAACAATACAAAAACCCACAACAGACCAAAAGAAACAAACTACGTGGTTCTAGGTTCTGTCTCTGGTTCTATGATTTTTTTTATCCCTTTGTTTATGTAAATGTATCTGCTAAAATTTCTACCAATTAATTTAATGAAATTCTAAGTGGTGATGACCACATTTTAAAAAGATTATAAGGTATCTTAGGAATTATTTCTTCAATTTAGCACTATTGTAATTAAGTACAACTTTTACCTGTGATGTTTTGCTAATAATTGGGTGGACCATTGACATTATTTTCATTGAAAATGTGTATAAATGTAATTATATTTCTATATTTTATATTACATTTATATAATAATATATTGGAATGTTCAAAGTTTGCATATTTGGTCATCTTTGACTATTGATATTATGATTTACTCAAGCATCTTTTAGAAATTAAATGCAGATATATAAGATATTTAGAATGTTCAGAACTCCTTTAAGCATTTGCGACTTTGTGAATTTTGTGTTAATAGGCAGCAATTGAATTTTTTTGAACAAGTAGGTTTTTCTATTATTATCTTTAAGAGAAAAAAAACACACAAAAGATACAGGAAAAGATACCACAGTTAACATCTGGAATGTGAAAATCTTAATTACTATCATCAAAGACATTACATTCCATGTAAACTATTTTGAAAATAATTCTTTTTAAGAAAGAAGAATGACTTTGTATATAGTTCTTTTGATTTTAAAATTTATAGTGTAAAATGAAGGCTGTGAAAGTTTGGTGTCATGCTACCAGTGAATGTTTGAGGTAAATAATGTAAGTCAAATCACTTTCTAATCTATACTGACCTTGACCTTTTCCTGTGGATAGACATCTATAAATGATCATTTGCATATCCAAGCCCTCCTGCAGCCAAATATTGTCCATCACTTGAATAATCTGCAGAACAAGCATATCCTGACGGAGATCATCGCCAGCCTGTTAAAAACAAAATTATAGACTGGATTTCTCCTTGAATTCCATTAAAGGCCTTCAAATATGGTATATGTCATTTCTTTCCTCAAATAAATTTCTAGCCAGACTTAGGATGGTTTCAATTGTTTTATCAGTACTAAGAACATCTTGTGTTTCTGAGAGAAGATCAAAGAAAATAAGAACTTTCCTTTAAATGATTACAGAAGCTTCAGCCATCAAGTTAGAAGTTGCTTGGAATGCTGTTCCTGATAATAATCTTTCAATTTATCATCCACGTGCAATGTCTTAGACTTAAAGTCTAGAGAAGAGAGACTCAATGAATATTTATTGAAATCTCAAACCAAATTTCAAACTCAACCAAGAGAGATTTCTTTCGAACTGAAACACTATTTCGTATGCCATAAATGTATATACTGATATACAGTTAGAATACCAAGAGCTTCTTGACTAGGAGTATAAATAGCACACACAGGATTCATTAGACTTTAAATCATTGACTTCTCAGATTATGAAGGTGGTTAAAAAGTTTGCAGAGTAAACAGCCTTTGATAATAAGAAGAAATGATTAAGAGATGATTTTCTAGCATAAGTGAAGGAAATGGAATATGTCCAAAGGAGAAGGAGGATAGTTTTATGCTTTTAAACTAACAGGTTTGGATTTGAAAATGCTTTCTAAATAATATGCAGAAAAATATTCCAAGATGAAATTTTGTTATTTTTTTCTTCACCAAAAATGCAGTGTCATGTGACCATTAATGCTTGAGGTGACACAGATCAAAGCCAAAGTAGGGTGTGCTAAAAATTACCCTCAAAAATAGTCAAAATCCACCAAATAATTCACTCTGAGAGCTGGTTGTCTGGTTTGGCTGAATAATTGATTAAATTAAGTGAATGAATGTAAATTCTTACTGTTCCACTACAGTTTCTTCTTCAGTCCCTCTTTCCTACCTGTCTTTAACTCTGTTACTACCTTTTACTCTTTTCTCATGGGATTCATGATAAAGACTGATTTGGCCCATATTTATTTAAAAAGAAGAAAATAACTCAAATTATTAAAATAAGCAAGTTCTTGCAGGTAAGAATTTTATGTTAAATTAACATATCATTTGAGTTTCAGCTAATATTGATTCTAATTTAGTATATAAACCAAAAGAAAACTCTTCCACTAAGGGCTAACCAAACATTCCACATTCTGTGCTACTCAAAAGTGATTGTATAATTTTATTCATTGAAACATCTCTTAAGTTTTGCACTGAAGGTTCACTAGCTTGAGACAATAACGATTTATTTATTATCAATCAAAGTTTGACATGTACTATAATTCTGTAAAAATGCAGAATAAAAATAACTGGAATCCTCTGTGTTGTTGCCAGTGGAAAATAGCTATAATCATTTCTTTTTGTGAGAAATAAATCAATAATTCTACCTGTGAAATCAATTTGATGTTTCAGGAGGGCTACTGTACCTTAAAAATGACGCTGATGTTTTTGCCCATTGGGTTAGCATTGATGAAAGTAATCTTCAGTGGCAAAGCATTAGATGTGAAATATGAACATGCCTATGGAAAGAGAAGGAAAAAAATGCTTAGAAAAATAAAGGAACAAGAACACTTTCGATGAAATCACAGGCCTCTTGGATAATTTGTTATAGAAGCAAATATAACACATATGAATAATTTTTACACTTTGGAACAAAGAAACATACTTATTAACAATAACAACAAAACAACTTTAGTCTACTAACCAAAGCCTTTACTTAGAAATTGAAAATTCAGCTTCTTGGCGGGCTGTAAGTCTTCAACTACATTTTTTTCTCACTGAACAGTGGTGATATGTTGGGAGGTTAAATAAACTAAGTAGTATGTAGATATTGTGTTTATGCTAGTTGGTTAATATCTAAAAGATAAAACTGTTATTAAAAAATCTATTTCCATTTAATTATTTCTTCCCTGCAGCATACTTTAAGGAAATATGGATATAGAGTTAAGAAAATCCTGGTGCAGTAACTCTGGAAAACAGTATGGAGGTTCCTCAAAAAATTAAAAATCAAATTACCCTATGACCCTAGCACTACTAGGAATTTATCCAAAGGATACAGGAGTGCTGATTCATAGAGGCACATGTACCCCAATGTTTATAGCAGTGCTATCTACAATAGCAAAATTATGAAAAGAGCTCCAATGTCCATCAACTGATGAATGGATAAAGAAGATGTGGTATATATTATATATTTATATTTATATACACAATGGAATACTACTTGGCAATGAAAAAGAATGAAATTTTGCCATTTGCAACAACATGGATGGAACTGGAGTGTATTGTGCTAAGTGAAATAAGTCAGTCAGAGAATGATATCATATGATTTCGCTCATATGTGGAATTTGTGAAACTTAACAGAAGACCGTAGGAGAATGGAAGGAAAAATAAGATACAAACAGAGAGGGAGGTAAACCATAAGAGACTCTTAAATACAGAGAACAAACTGAGGGTTGATGGGGTTAGGGGGTTATGGGTGGGGAAAATGGGTGATGGGCATTGAGGAGGGCACTTATTGGGAGAACTGGAAGTTGTATGTAAGTGATGAATCACGGGAATCTACTTCTGAAATCAAGACTACACTGTACATTAGCTAACTTAACAATAAATAAATAAAATTAAAAGAAAAAAAGAAAGAAAGACTTGGGGCACCTGGGTGGCTCAGTTGGTTAAGTGTCTGACTTTGGCTCAGGTCATGATCTCGCGGTTAGTGAGTATGAGCCCTGCATTGGGCTCTGTGCTGACAGCTCAGAGTCTGAAGCCTGCTTCAGATTCTGTCTGTCTGTCTGTCTGTCTCTCTCTCTCTCTCTTTGTCCCTCCCCACTCATGCTCTGCCTCTCTCTCTCTCTCAAAAATAAATAAACATTAAAGAATGTTAAAAAAAAAAAAAGATCTGAATTCAAATTTGAACTCTGTAACTAATTACCTGCAAGATCTTGGGTAAGTTACTGAAATGTTTGTATCCCACTGAAAAATGGGGATAATAACCCCTATCGCAAACATATTTGTAATAGACATATGGACTAATGGATGTAAAAGAGCTTCTACAGTGCCTGACACTAATTGAGTACTTAAAAAAAAATAATGCATTCCCTTTCTCTTTTTTGTTAATGAACATTTTCTTACCTTCACAAATAACAGTACAACATATTTCATTTCAATTTCATTTCATCTTTTCATTTCTTTCAATTACACTTTGCATTTCCACTTTCAGCTTATGATATTGACTACTTTCCATTATACTTTCCTTGTTGCTTATTTTCCTTTATGTTCTTACAATTGTTTGAGTGTCAAAGGCTATATGTCTTTAGGCTATTAGAGACTTCATGTTGACAGTGAAGTTAAATCAATACTAAATAAAGGAAAAGACTGTGATGGTTTCAATTTATCAACTTAGTAAAATACGACATCAATACATGTTGAAAGATCAGCTTGAATATCATTATTTTTGAGAAGTCTGAAATCGGTAGAGGTAGAGAGGAAAGGATATATTTTTTTTAACTTAACCTATCAATAGAAATCTAACCTAATCCCTAAGCAAACAGAAACTCTTGCTTACTGAATCAATTTGAGGTTTATAGTAAATAGGTGAGGCTGCTTATTAAGTAATGAATTCTTGCTTCAAGAATCAATCAAGGAACATATGACCTTCTGTCATGGTATTGAATTAGGAAATCCTGTATTAGACCAGAAATGAGTCTAGATTAGTGGTTTTCAAACTGTGCTCATCCAATTCTTGAGGGTCTTTTTGAGACATCCAAGTCCAGGGAAGAGAAAAAGGGCAAAGGGAGGCTGAAGGCAAGGCTTAATTACATCACTCAAAGCTATTTTGCTTTAATTATTTTATAGTTTGGTTTTCACATGCAGAATATTTTTTGAGAGTCATGGGAAAAATATTTTATATTTGACAAATAGTATGCACAAATTGTTATCTATATGGTAACAGAAAGAGACACCGTATCTTCTATCCAAGAGCCTACAGAAAGTTGGTATGAACATATATACATATGCATTAAGTTGAAAATAATTTATAAGACCATTTATCATAGTTGAATGGAGAAGCACTTAAAAAAGACAAGTCTTTCAGAGATGAGCTGAATTTGAAGATTGTGAAAGACAGAGATTAGCAAGCAGGTTTTTTTTTAAAGGCTTTCTATGAAGGGAAAGGCAAAAATGAGAATTTAGACTAGATGTTAAAAGTGGATTATGAAGGCCACAACCAAGAAACAGGAAAGAATGAATTAAATTCTTGGAAGATAATTTTATTCAAATGGTGAGATAAAAGAGCTGGAATAGAGAAAAGAAAATAAGGAAAGCTAGAATAGATAACGCAAGATATGACTTCTGTTCTTGAGAAGCACACACTAATGACATAGATTTAAAATAGTTTTTAAAAAAGGAAAGAAACCTATTAGTAAATGACGTGTGTGGTCCTCACTTTCCCAGGAGCAGAGAAGAGATTGCATTAAGTTATAACCACTCTCCCAAATGGTCCATTCCCTAGTGACCCAAAGGAAATGGTCCATTGTGATTAGTGCTTCCAAGGAGAGACAAGGGTAAAAGTTCTTTGAAAGAAGGTTTAATCCAAAGCTGAGACCTTTGCCCTCCATCTTGGAGAACCATACTTTAAAAAATGGACTGAGCTAGGCCCGAGTGCTTCTCCCCAGTGTAATTCACTGATGGTGATTAAAATAGAATGTTGACTGTAGTCTTTCCCATAGTCACTACATTCATAGAGCTTCTCTCTAGTGTGAACTCTCTGATGCATGATAAGCTGTGAACTATCCCAAATGGCTTTCCCATAGTCATTGCATTTATAGAGTTTCTCCCCAGATGGGTTCTCTGACATCATAAAATTGGTGCTATAACCAAAGATTTTTCCATACTTATTACATTCATAGGATTTTTCACCAATGTGAATTCTCTGTTACACAACAAGATGTGAGTCTTGATTGCATATTTTCCATATTTACAGGGTTTTTTGCTTGTGTGAAGTCGAGTGACATAAAATAAGACATTTACTCTGATTGAATGTCTTATCATGCTGTATTCCAAATGTTTTTCTCTGGTACGAATTTGCTCATAGCCAACACGTTGAGAGTTCTGACTGAAGCCTTTTCCATACTGCCTATATTTATGTGCTTGTTCCCAAGTGCAGAGGCTCTGATGTCAAATAAGACATTTGCTCTGACTGAAAGCCTTACTATGTTCATTATACTCACAGAGATTCTTCCCATTATGGATTCTCTGGTGGTCAAGATGGTTTCTTGAGTGAGCTTTTCCACACTAATTTCAACTGTAATGCTTCTCACTTGTATGAAGTACTTGATGTTGGAAAAGGCTTTTACTCTGAACGAAGGCCTCCTACACTCATAAAATTTATAAGTCTTCTCCAGAGGATATTATCTGAGAGTCAATGCGTAGGGAACTCTGAGTGAAGGTTTTTATATATTAAGCACATTTATAAGGTTTTCCTAATTATGGAATCTCTGATCTTGAATGAGATGGGAGCAATGATGACAGGTCTTTCTATGCTTGTTACATTCATAGGGGTTCCCTCCTTTGTAGATTTTCAAATGAACCATCGTCTGAGAGGTCTCTCTAAATGTCTTATCATATTCATTACATTCTTAGAAGCTCTTGCCAGTATGGATCTTCTGATACAGGTTCTAATTGAAACCTTCCCCCATTCACCACACCTTCAGATGCTATGTATGTTCCTTCAGACCTCCTTATTTGGCAGGACTATAGAATAGACTAAAATGTTTCCCAGGAGAGAGTGTCACCTGGTCACATCTGCTGTTTATTGCTCTATACATAGGTGCCCAGCCTTGTGTGAGGCACAGGTGACCAGAACAAATGGAGAAAAGAGGTAGCTGCTTGGTGCACTTCCCAGACTCAGGAAAAGTGTCTGCAGGTAAGTAAAGAAAAGGAGTGTGGTCCCAATTACAGTGCTAGGTGTGGTGCTAGGTGCAGTGCTAGGTCACCTGGGCTGGTGACCCTCAGCCTGATCATCTCACATGGGCATCCTCAGTAGCCACCCATTAGAGCCAACGTCCCACATCTTCAAGGCATACAAAAAAACAAGACTTAATATGGCATTGTAACTGAAAAATATGTTTTCCTCCTTAAACAACAAATCAAGAAAGCAGCAACAACAACAACAAAAATAATATCTGGACTCAATGATCCATACTGTTCTTTCTCCTTTAAGATACCATGTCTTTGAAATGCCACATTTCCCTATATTACCAGCATTAATCAGTGGATATTGCTAATGACTAAAAAGTTACACAATTTTTGAAAATTAGCAATGATTTGGAATTTAGCCCAGATAGACCTATATCAACTTATAAAATTTGATGCCTTATTTTGTTATTTTTCAAAATATACTTGTGCAGCATATTAGGAAAGTTTCTAAGGTGTCTGTGAAGCAGCAAAGTCGTAAAGGCAATAGTACCAACTTCTTGGCAAAACTTTTTATATTCATGCTAATAATGGCCTAATTTTTCTCCTAAGTATTGGATTTGTTTCCTTGATTGTCATATGACTTTAGTCAAGTGACATTTATTGTGCATGTGTGATAGTTTAACCTCTTTTCTTCTAAGTCTTGCTTATCAGTCCTTTCTCTATTTGCATTTCCTAGTCTTGGACTTTTGAGGAGGAGGCTAATAAAGTTCATGCAAAAAAGGAGAAAGAATGATTCTAAGTTAAAGTGTGACTGGCAGAGGCTTAAGAAGAAAACGAATTTGTGTCTGATGCAAGGAAGGTCACTCCAGGCATAAGTAAAATAACAAAATATATTATATGGCACACTGACCCATGAATTTCAGTAAATTTTAAATTAAATAAAAACTGAGATGTTGTAGCTAATAATATCCTTAGCATACTAGGCATGGGTATGCACATAATCTAAATAAGCATGAAATTAAACCCAGCCTGCATAAGGTCACCAAATCAACCATTTTGAATAAATTAAGAAATCAATTTAGGGAGAAGTATCATTATTTATTTATTTATTTATTTACTGAACTGATAGTTTATTTCTAAACCTACAAATCTTATGATGAGGTCAATGCAATCTCAACCTTACACAGTGCATCAAATGCAGCACATAGTATGGATGGGATTCGATTGCTTTTTTCTTAAGGTACTTGCAATGACAATTTACAAATTGTTTTTGCCATTTTAAAAAACATACAGTGAACTAAATAATGCAAAACAAAAACATTCAGTTTATCTACCAAATAAACTGACTTACATCATGATCAATACCCCTTATACACAGGGCAGGGTTCAGAGGAAGGTGACAGGTATTTATACACTGAAAGAATTCTTCTAGTCTGCCAATCTCTTTCTTCAGTACCTCCTGTGAAAAATCATTAGAAAAAGCATTTCAGAAACTGTAAAGAACTTGAATTTTCTTTCAAGTTATAATTTTCTTCTATTGATTAAATAAACTCTAATTCTGGGGCTGCATACTTGGATGCTTGGGGGTCAAACTGGTTATGTAGCCATATATAAGGAGGCAGTGAGCTAAAGACAATAGGGAGTGTTGGGGAAAATGGGGAACTAGAGCTCATGCTCTTTCTACAGGATTTTAAATTCAATTACAAACAAAACCAAAACAAAGAACTATTGTGTTCAAACAAAACACAGGATGGGATGGATTTGACTTGTGGCCCACCAACTTGCAATACCTGCTTCAAGTAATGATTAACATGATCGATTTCTGATAATTTCTTTGAATCTTAGTTTGTAACTCTCAAGATTTATACTTAATAGTAACAGTAAATTTTATTTCTTTAGTTTTAGTTTCAGTTTTTTTTAGTTTTTAGAGAGAGTGAGGGGGGGCAGAGGAAGAGAGAGAGAGAGAGAGAGAGAGAGAGAGAGAGAGAGAGAAAGAGAGTATGTCAAGCAGACTCCATGCATAGCACGGAACCTGACAAAACATGGGGCTCGATCCCATGATCCAGGGACCATGACCAGAGCTGAAATCAAGAGTCAGACACTCAACTGACTGACCCTCCCAGGTGTCCCAGTAATAGTACATTTTAGAAAACAAATTCACATATATTAAGAGTAATAATGGCAAAAGATGATAATGCAGACAGTTGATAATTGTCAGAAATAGCAATGTATTTGAACAAATAGTTTACTAAATGCCAAGGAGTATATTTCCGATACTTGACTCACTACCTTCCATAGTTCTCTGTACATGTGGGAAGGTCTGAAACCACAAACAATACCTTTAAAATTGTGTATCCCTTATCAAAAAGTGCGGAAAAACAGTAACAATTTAAAAAATAATTCAAGAGCCACCTGGGTGCTTCGGTTGGTTAAATATCCAATTCTTCATTTCGGTGCAGGTCATAATCTCACATTTCATGAGATCGAGCCCCACATCGGGCTCTGTGCTGACAGCATGGAGCCTCTGCTTGGGATTCTCTCTCCCTCTCTCTCTGCCCCTTCCCTGCTTGCTCTCTATCTCTCTCTCAAAATAAATAAAAATAAACTTAAAAAAAACCCTTTTTAAAAAAAACTTAAATTCTAGTTAGTTATCATACAGTGTAGTCTTAGTTTCAGGTGTACAATATAGTGATTCAACACTTCCATACAACACTAATTAGTACCTTTTAAAAAGAAGTAGAGAAAAATAGATAGCAGTAATTTGAATTGTGCAAATTTGTAAATGCTTCCTCCAACTCTTTTTTATTTTCTTATTTTCATGTGAAGAAGTGTTATCATAAAAACAGCCAGTCAAGGTGAGAGAAATATATTTATTTGAAAGAATAATGTCACTATCACTTTGGAACTTAATGCAAGTGGTCAAAAAAGGTATCAGACTTACTTAACTGTAGTATGCATCTCAAGTTATGTGAGGAACTTTAAAATGTAAGAAATAAAGATGGACAGGTTTTATAATTTTAAACCAGTTTATTTAGCTTACTTTCAACTTTTTGCTACCACCAGAAAATAATTAATGAGTATTAACTTTAGACTGTAAATTGAAAAAAAATATCTTGATTAAAGTAATTGATTTGGGTACCTTAGAACTAAGTATAGACACGGAATTTACTTTCTAAGCTATGAAATTAAAACTTAATTGAACAAAAGATTAAAGAAAACACTACATGAAGATTAATTTCTCAACAAACCTGTCTTTGAGGGTCACTGGCAGACTTGACTTTTTCCCCAATGTCTCCCAGAATTTTAATAAGTTTCTTCTCTTTGGAAAACTCATCACTCAAGGCTTTTCCTGAACAGAATTGGAGAGCCGCCAATAGTTTCTGATACCAGCTTTTAAAATAAGTTTCATTCTGTGCATCCTTTAGCAGCCTGAAGGAAAGAGAGAAAAAGAATTCTTGTATCTATAGCTGATTTTTTAACCACCTCCAGCAAGAACAATCAGTGCATTTCGGACTAATCTGTATTTGGTGGCTTGGGCAGTTTAACAGCCTTGAATGGGGGAAAATGTTGTTTATTCGTTGGCAGTCATCAAATTCCATCTGATAGTTAATGAGATTCCTAGAGTGAAGAATCAATAAGAGACCTGCTTTTTATTCATTTCAGTTCACAGTGCACTTTTTCTTCTTTCAGGCTTTTTAATTCTATAACAAATACTTAAGAACATATTTTTGACTTATTAAAATAAGGACAAAGAATTTTAGAAATAGTATTTATTAGCGACTTTACTATATTGGAACTCAACCATAAAACCTACGTTTTTCTACTTTTCTTCAAAAGACCATGTCCCCCACACTGTCACATACCTATGTATTTCTCTTTCTTCTAGTACCTTCCCTTGACTATCTGCAGGAAGATATTGTAAAGGCAAGAGCATGATTTTTGTTTTCAGGCATTTCTGGATTCAAATCTCAGTCCTATACAACTTCTAAGTAACTTAGGTTACTTAACTAGGCTGAGATTTTCTTTCTTTATCCATAAAATAAAGTAATAACTCTGACTATGCACAGCTATACAGAACACAGAATGAGCTAATGCATTCAAAAGGGCTTAGCACAATGTACCTACTAGTCAGCCAACATTAGTTCATCTGTATTTCATGGCCTCCCCAGCCAACTTCTGCCACTGCCTGGCTGCATGTGCATGTCATGAACATGGGAGGCATAGAACATAAAAGAGTGAGAATGCTTTGCTAGATAATGGAGTGGTAACAAATATTTTACTACTCTGTCTGCCATGTGACAATTTTTATCACCTTGAAACTTATTCTAATATACTTAAACTTTACTTTCTATTATGCCCTAAACCACTGAAATAGAATAAAAAAACTAATACCTTTGAGTGTTAACCTCTCTTTGATTGATTCTTTTAATCTTAACTGGTCTCTAGTCTTCTCCTTCTCTGAAAAATTAACTTTAAAGAAACTAGAAGAAAGTTATTGTGGGAATGGAACACTAAAAAAAAAAAGATTAAATGCAGAGCAGTCGAAAAATATATAGATGAATTTCATTCTGCATTCTTAATTTTGCATCTCTGCCTAATATGTATTATGCTATAGAGACTCTAATACATTATTTTCATTTGTTTTATGTTCTCCGTTTCTACATACTGAAGTTAAAATATAATTGAGTATACTTTTTTTTTTTTTTTTTTTTTTTTAGGTAAGAGCTTGCTCTCTTGTCATTGTTATAAAGCCAACTTATCGTCTAGCACCTCTTTTGCTTTTACGTGGAATAATAGTTCTTATTTACTTCTGGAAAGCATTTTAAAAAAACCCTCAAGGGGTTAAAGAGGCATTGATGAAAAAATGTAATCCACTGCTTATTTTCAATGTAAGAAGAATATTAGACAATGAATAGTTCTCCTATACTTACCCTTATGGTGAAATTTTAAAATGTCAGATGTAATAAATGGAATCTGTCATTATTTGGAAGCTGTAAGAAAATGAGTTTTGTGTGAGTGTGAATTGGAAAGCTGCAAATGCAAGCATCCACATGTAAAACTTCAAGATGCCTTATGTAAATTATATATCTCTCAGATTCTCTCAGTATTTTGAGGACTTTGGTAATATATCATTTTATAGTGTACTTGGCTTTCAGTGAGATAGGCAGTTGATGGGTAGAGTGTTTCTATATCTTGACCAATGCTTGCCAGCATTTTCATATACTTCGAATAGTGAATCACTTGTTTTAAAAATATTTTTAACCAGTTATAGTATATAAATATAACTATAATCTCCTTACTGTTATATACATGATAAAAGGAGAAGTTATTTTGTACAGATGAAGTCAGCCTTTTACTAAAATAATTTTTTTAAGTTTATTTATTTTGAGAGTGAGAGAGAGAGAGTGCATGTGAGCAGGGGAGGGGCAGAGAGAGAGAGGGAGAGAGAGAATCTCAAGCAGGCTCCGTGCTGTCAGCACAGAGCCCCATGTGGGGCCCAATATCACGAAGCCATGAGATCATGACCTGAGCCAAAATCAACAGTCAGATGCTAAACCAACTGAGCCACCCAGGCGCCCCTACTAAAATAATTTTTTGAAAACATATGTTTAGAGGTGGGGGCAGTCAAGGGTACTGTCAGAATTATATAATTTGCATTCATAATACTCTTAATTTTTTTCTGTTAGATATGTTATGGTTATTTGATTCCTAGCTCAAAATAAAACAGATCAGGGAAATCACTGGATTCTACTCCTGAAATCAATTCTACACTGTATGCTAACTAACTTGAATTTAAATAAATAAATTTTAAAAAGAATATAGCAGGGGAGATTTGCAGAGAGAATATGACTGTGTTCTAAAAAAGATTTCAAAGCAAAGCAAACTCAGTGTATTCCACTGTGATTATTTTCCTTGTAGAATATGCCTCATTCAAACCCTACATTCCTGCTAAGATGATACATTCTCCAGGTCAAATCTGGTTCAAGCTCTATGGCTTTTGACTGACTAATGAAGAGTTTGTCTTTACACATTGCAGAAGTGAAATCATGGAGTGATGGAGTGTAGGAGATGACCCTGACAGGTAACATAGTCCATCCCTGTGTCCTTAGGCACATTCAGGAAAAATCGCTTCAGAGAAAGCTGGACTATATACAGTTTGAGGTAGAGGGTTACACCGTTCTGCATCAATGGCTTTTATAGGAAGTGGTAAACCCCTCATGCTGTAGTTTTTATCCATTGCCTCTGTTCGTAAGACTAGCAAACAGCTGGCTACTCTCCCTTGAACATTAGAGAAACCTTTTCCAAAAGACATCATTATCTAAGAGAAGCAGTATGCTTATGCCAAATATATTTTTGTTTAATTTTTATTTTTTTATTTTTTAATTTAAGAAATTTTTAAAATTTATTTATTTATTCTGAGAGAGATAGGGACAGCACAAGTGGGGGAAGGGCAGCTAGAGAGGGAGAAAGAGAATCCCAAGCAGTCTCTGCACTGCCAGCACAGAGCCCAATGTGGGGCTCGAACGCACAAAGCCACGAGATCGTGACCTGAGCTGAAACCAAGAGTTAGACGCTTAACCAACTGAGCCACCCAGGAGCCCCATATTTTTGTTTAGTTTTTAAAGTCAAGGTCAAGGGATTGAAACATATCAAGACTTGGTGGTGAAAGATCAACCTTCTAAGGTGCATGCAATGTGACTGTGTATAAACCATGAGGTAAATCTTAATGTCAGAGACCTGTTTATCCTAATATCTGTGAGATCCAGGAATAATTCAATTTGATACTATTTTATACATATCTTATAGACTAAGTAATGACAACATAAAATGACAGCATAAAATCTAGCTGATTAAAGGTTTTAACGGTGTTAAGAATGAGAGGTAGAAGCAAGAAAGAGGCGGAAACCCAGGTACCAGTACATTTGTTATAGGATATCACGAAGGTATGTGCCTAAATTAAGGGGATCATAGTGGACTCAGAGAGACCTAAGACACTCACAGACCCCAGTTAGCATGATGGTGAGATTTTCCATGGAAATTGAGTTTGTCTCTATTCCTTCACGCGCATAGCTGCTTCTGATCGCTGACCTGTGAGAGCCATAGGAGAAGTAGACAGTTCTCACTTCTCAGTCTACCAGCAGGACAGAACCGGGTCATCACACCATCCCTGCTTTCCTTGCCTCTTAACTTCCTTCAGTTCCTAACTGTGGTCTCAGTAGCACAGAATTCCACATTTTACAGGTGCCTTAAATTTTGACCCGCTTGTGTATTTACTATGCATGAAAAGGGGAACAACATCCTAAAGCAGAAGAGAACTGAGTTACACAATGCAGATGAGTGATTTCAGGTCATTCCAGGACCTCCCCTTTCCATTTCCTTCTCTATTTCTTGCTACAATGCAAGGTGTGTGGCTCAGGAGACCAGTTTTTAGTGAGCACAGGAGGATTTTAGAATGTGACTTCTTCAAGTGTTTTTAAAATCCTGGGACATATAAAGGCTGATATTCAATACTTGATACAAATTATTAATTTTAAGATTTTAACAGTGTGATTAAGAAGTAAAAAGCATGGGGGTATGTGGGTGGTTCTGTTGGTTAAGTGTCTGACTTTAGCTCAGGTCATGATCTCACAGTTTGTGAGTTTGAGCCCCACATCGGGCTCTCTGCTGTCAGTACTGAGCCTGCTTCAGATCCTCTGTCTCCCTGTCTCTCTGCCCCTCCCCAGCTCCTGCATGGGTGCTCTCTCTCTCACTCAAAAATAAATAAACATTAAAAAAAAGAAGAAATACAAACAATAATCCCTTTTTAAAAAGAAGTAAAAAGCACGTATCTCTTTAGTCTTTACAACTTTTACTTCCTAGTGTTTAAGAGATTTATTTAATATTTTCCCAAACTGAGGAACTTGACACATTTTTAGTCCTTACAAGACAATCATTTCCTGTGACTAGTATATTCTTAGAATATTGATTTGCTTTTTCAGAAATTTAACTTTCATTGAGTTTTGCATATAAGGAGCATTATATTGGCAAAATCTACAGAAATGTGATTTCCATTCAATAGTTATTTGGCAATATCTGTCAATAACCATTTTGTAACAATTCTTATTTTAAAATGTTTATTTATTTACTTTGAGAGAGAGAGCACACACAGTAATGACATCCATACTGTAGAGATTGTATACATTTTTAGAACACTTAAATATACGGAAGGGACCCATAAAGTATGTAGCTGACTTAATTGTATCCCCATATGTAATTTATATATGTAATATTTATTACCACCTCAAAAGTGTTCTCTTTGAAGTGTTATATGTGCACACTAACGATGTCCCGTTGTGTTCTCACTATATAGTAGATTTGATTATTGCTTCCAACTCTCTGCTTTCTCCTCTGAAGGAGATTATACATCTCCATGTGTGACTTCCAGTGCC